TAGGGTTTAGGGATTATGGAAAAGAACATGGAAACTACTATAGTAGATTGGGGTTATATAGGGATAATGAAAGAGGAAACTGAAACTGCTATTTAGGGTTAGGGGTGGTGGCCGTCCAGGCAGAGGAGAGTACCGGCCGCCGCTTTGTGGAGCTTCCCAACGGTCAGCAGAAGTCTGTTCGCGTGGAGAATCTGTGCCCTCAGCCGGATCCAGATGCTTCTGGGTTGCTGTTGAAGAACTAAATGTATGTTACTATGTTGGGGAAACCCTTTGATTTAATATATACATATATAACCATTATGGTAACTTAAGTTAAGTTTCTTAACAGCTACCCAGGCTTTGGGGGACAAGGACAAGCATGAAGCGACCAGTGTGACCCAAAGCGAGAAACCAGTTGAGAAGGCCACGGAGCCTCTACAACCTGCTGGTCCTCAGAGATTGAGGTTGGATCCTGCTCGCATTCCCTGCAACGGGGCCGAAGTGGTGGTGGAGGCAAAGGACTTGGCAGGAGCCATCAGTGAGGTCTCAGTGGATGGAAACAGCTGCGAGGTCTTGGAGGATCTGTCCAGGGGAGGTTCCTCAGCAGTCCGCGTGCGAGTCCCCGCCAGCCGAAACAGAGCAGGGGGAGTAGCAGCTGGGTTGCTGTTAAGGAACTTAAATTAAGTTACCATAATGGGTATATATAGTAAATAATAGGGTTTCCCCAATATAGTAACTTAAATTAAGTTCCTTAACAGCAACCCAGGCAGAGGTGGAAGTGCGTTCAGCGGAGTGGGCACGCCACATCGTCCGCGAGGAGGCAGCTAGCTACTTCCCCTTGATCACCTTTGCCACCTGCAGCCCAAACGTAGCACTCACTGCGCAGGCTAGGGAGACAGACTACTTAGACGTGGCTACGCGGCAGAGAGGCTTGATCAGTGCCGTTGCTTTGACCAGTGAGCTCTCTCCAGTTCATGGGGACCGCTATTTCTTCCAAGTAAAGGTCGAGGCCTTGGCTGAGAAGCGCTCAAACAAGACCCTGGCTCTTGGTTTCGTCTGGCCGCTGCCCCACGCACTTCTGCTGGACTCGGACGAGGCGCCGCAGATGAGGCGGCGGGCATCGCACTGGACATCAGATGGACACATGCCCGAGCTTGCCTACCAACTACCTAGGTCCTTTGTGGTAGGTGGAGATCCGCCCAAGGCTTACATGGGGGGCAAGGAACTGGCAAAGATCACCTGGCGGCCGTTGCTGGAATGCACAGTTGGCACGGTCCTAGGTTTGGTCCTGGACGTGGGCCCCAGCACCCTGAGCCTCACTGTCTACCAGGACGGCGAGGAGAAGTGCAAAGTGGAGGGCCCCCTGAATGAGGATTGGAGATGGCCTAGCCTGGGTGCGCCCAACGGCGTTGTGGATGTTTGTGGGGCCGTCTCCAGCATCTCGCTCTGCCAGGGGGCTCAGCCTCCCGATCCGCCACTGGCGGTGACTGCAGGCGAAGACGAGGCAGAAGAAAGCAAGAAAAGATCGCAAATTCCTGTGCATGTGCCCAGTTGATACGCCTTGGACACCTGAAGCCAGCTTTCAGGACCGCAAGTCCCACCGCGGTGCTTGAGATTTGCTAGACCTCTTAGCTCCCTACCTTCACTTGCAACCCCTGGGTCTAGGTGCAGCATGTACCACACAGCCGTGGCTCTAAGCTCGCACATGGAGTGTGCCCATGAGGTCCTGGTCTCAACCTCTGCTCCCTGGCCCGAACTAGAGTACAAGCTGAAACCTCAAGCCCAACACTCCGACACTCCCCTTTACCCACCCAAAAACAACCCAGACTCAGACCTCCAACTTCTTAAGCCTTGAAAACTCCAACCACAGGCCATAAGCCCTCACCCTCAAAGTAGAGAGCAGCGAAAGATGGACTCTGCGCGATGCCGCACGAGGACCAAAGCATGGAGCAAGGTTTTGCCTCCGGGATTTTATACAGGCTTGTTTGAAGATTCCATACATACGTAGTTGGGCCCCAGTGTAGACCCCCAACAGATTATTCACCCTTACTATATGGACCCCCAAGAAGGTAGCCCTACTCTTGGACAAACCCAAACCCTGCATAGTAGCTTCCATTTTCTTGTCCATGATCCCTGCAAAGCCCCCATACAACCCCTATAAAGGTATCCCCTGATCTTGGCAACTGGTGAGTCTTTGCGTGATTTATGGGCCGAAGGCAAAGGCTTCGGGTTTCCCAGCCTAGGTTGGTGCTTCACGGGGCCAGGGGGCAGGATGCTTTGAAGGGGGCCGGGCCTCCGGGGCGGGGTTGGGTGGTTTGGGCGCTTGTCAGCGTTGCTTTGTGCAGGATCTTGTGTTACCTCACGAAATCCGCCCCAAATCAGGACGGGTTAAGAGTGCTTCAGAGCGTATTTAGGCCTATAGGTATGGTAGAAGCTTGAATTTTGCAACTCCAGGATATCAAGATGAAGCAAGTGTTTGACAGGCTCAACAAAGAGCTCCCTTCATAGCTATGGGGATTTTGGGGACATATCGGGACTGCAAGGAGTGTCCATGCGTCCTCCTTGTAGATTATGGAGGGATCACTTTGAGAAACTACCATCTTGCTTGCTCTTCGAGTTTACCCCAAGCCACACCACTGGAACCTGAAACTCTGGAACCTCAAGTGCCTTGCTGTTTGATTCTCGATATCTTGACGGAGGTTTGAAGACAGCATTTTTGAAATGGTCGTCAGGCTGCATGAGTCTGCCCACGTTGTAGAAGGGGTGTCAGTGGCCCCATCTTCAGAAACCCCTAAGCCCTGGAAGCTAATCGGCTAATCCCCGCTTTGAGGAATCCCTTGTATCCAATTTCCAATCAGGAGAGGGCTTGCGCGGTCTCACTGGAACAGGCGGGGGATCTTGCTTCAAAGCACCTTTAGGTTATAGTCCCCCTCAAGTAGATAGAATATGGGGTATATGGGGATTTTATTATAATGTACCCAAAGCCATATTCTATCTACTTAAGGGGGACTATATCACATCGAGAGCCAGGGTCTAGGGTTTATGGATCAGGATCAAGACTTAAGGGTCGGACGGCTCTTGTTGTTCTGGGTGCTTCTTAGAGATGTGTGCTGGTTGTGGAAAGAGAGCCTCTTTCATGTGGCTGTTCCAAGCGATGGGTAGCCCCGGGTCTTCATGTAACTTTAGCAGACTCATGAGGAATAGCTTCACTGGGCTTGCATTATCTCCTTAGGTTGCAATCTGCTAAAGGCCATTTCTGACAAGTTCTCGCAGGGCGAAAGGATTATGTTGATTACTTGCCTCGGTGGGTGCAAGAAACCTAAACCCCTGACCCAAACCCTGAACCCAACTTATCCAGCAAGGATTTCCAAAGACCTTCCAACACTGAACTGCCAAACCTGAAGGCTAAGCCCTGCATTGCAACACACCCTAAAGGCTTGGAAGCCAATATAAAGCCCTGCTGATCGCCATGCATAAGATCCTATGTCAGCTTTTGGTTTTTGCACAACTCCCCCCTCAACCCTAAACACTAAACCCTAAGCCCTAAGCCCTAAACTCTACATCCTCAACCTCAACCCTACCCTGAACCTTGTATCAGGCGGCTGAGGCCAGTGGCTGGCCACTAGAGGCGTTGCAGGCTCACCGAGTTCTGGTCGAAGAGTGCAGCGTCTACGGGTCAGGGTGTCATACCCACGGTTGGGCCTGGGTTTAGGCTTTAGGGTTCAGGATGTAGGTTCCCCGATATGAGCCTTACATAGCCCTCATATACCCCTAGGCTTCACACATAGGCCTTGTGTAAGCTGTATGTAATAGTACCAACTTGATAAACCCCCCCGCTTGGAAATTCCATTAACGGATCCATGACCTTTGGAGGTTTGATCTACCTTAGGATTCTCGAAGTTTCTCTTGACTCCCAAATAGTGTGGTTGGTACATCTTCATGCCCGAATCTTTCCTTTGGACCTTGATGCAGTTTGTTCGTTTGGGCTTCGATGACTATGTCGAAGCAATGTCTGACAAGTATTGAAGGCAACAGACCATTTAGAGAGAGGCAAAGAATACAAAGCAGCACAGTACACATATAAACATGTGTATATATATATACACATGCGTATATGCATACATGCTATACACAATGTACTTAAAGCAGCCAGGACTTCTGCAAGTGGCCCTTCGTTGTGGACACAGTGGAGAGTTTTCTCAGCTTTGTCCGCTATGCAGACCACTCTCAGGCGCAGCGACTTGGGGTTTCAAAGGTAAAGGGTTTAGGGTTCAAGGGTTCAGGGGTCTAGGGCTTTAGGGTTCAAGGTTTAGGGTCGATGGTTTTGGGGTTTAGGGTTCAGGGTTCAGGGTTTAGTGTGTAGAGTTTAGGGCTGGGGTTTAGGAGGCTGGTAGATAATTTGGGGCCATACAGAGACTGTTGAGGGATCCAATGCATTAAGGTATGCTTTTGGGCTTTGTTTTTGAGACCCTAAACCCTAAACCGCTAGGGGGTTAAGGGCTTCAGGTGAAAAGTCTGGCGGGCAAGAGTTTAGCTTATGTGGGGGTGTAGCGTGAGGAGAAGGGCCAGGGTGGCTGGGTTCAGGGTTTTAAAGTTTAGGGTTTAGGGTTCAGGATTAGGGCCTAAGGGTTTAGGGTTTAGTGTTTCAAGGGCTTAGGGTTTATGGGTAAAGGGTCATGTGGGTAGTTGCCAGCAATCTTGATCCTCGTAAGTGTGAAAGTAGCAGGACCCCAACAACTCCGACCCCAACCCTCTATATGTGGCTAAGTGGAGTAAATCCTAAACCCTAAACTTTCCTAAACCGCAAAACCTAAACCTAAAGCCCTACACCACTCTAAGATTCGGTGCCCGAGCTGGCCAGTTCCTCCTTAGCCTCTTCTAACTCCGAAATACACCACAATGCGTGACAGGCTCAGATGTGCGTCCTCAAGGACTCCGAGGGCTCTCACTTGAGTTTCCGAAAGTTTTAGGGTTTAGAGTGTAGGGTTTTGGGTGTAGGGTTTCGGGGTTTAGGAGGGTTCCCCCTAAAAACCCAATATGGTACTTATGAGAGGGATCCCCAGAACAGGACCCCCGCAAGTTTTGGAACCCGCTACTGGGATATAGACACACCAACAGTATGGCTTCGCAGAGCCGTACGTATCAGAGGCTGATACGGCTCACAGAGCGAATCATGTAGACCCCTGATTGATAACCCCCCTCCTTTTAAGGGCCTTGAAATTAGGATCCCAATTTTAATCCCTAAGCCTAAACCCTAAACCCTGTGATATTAGGATCCCTATCGTATGATCCCCATTAAGGGGAGGGGGTTTATGAATCAGGCGTCTGGGTTACGATGGCAGAGCCCAGGCTTTTTGATGATCGTGAAGTCAGCTGCAAGCATTTATGACCTCCCTTTCTGCCAGCTTGGCACCTTTTTAGGGTTTAGGGTCTAGGGTCTAGGGTTTAGGGATTAGGGTTTAGGGACTAGGGTTTAGGGTCTAGGCTGGACTTTCACTGCAGCATTTGGTGATCATCATGTTGATTGATCTTGATGTGACAGCTCACTAGGACAACTATGAGGGCTGGGAGGTAGTGACTCCGGAATGTGGTGCCTGCTACCTCAACCTGTTAAACGAGTTTCAAGAATAACTATATCCCTTGGAACTGCTCTCAGATTCTTAACTCCTGCAACTCAATTGGAATGGTTTGATCCGACAAGCTCTCGAATAAATGGTTGAATCCTGAAACGGAAATTATACGGCTTGTATGACTTGCTGTTAAGAAGTGGATGGATCTTGATCGAATCTGTGGATTGTGCCGGGAATGAGGGGATGGCCTCTCCAAGCCGTTCATGTGAGAGTAGGAAAGGGTGTGACTGAGCAAGCTCAGGATGCGGCCAGCGGCATATAGCTAACACTCTGTGATTTGAACCCTCTCCTCCGCTGCACTCTCCACCCAAACTTTAAATGAAACATAGTGAAGTGTGGTCGAAACTTCTCAAAGGGGGTTATATACCGGGAGATTATATAGGGGACTATCATAGGCATTATTATTAAGGGGGATACCTGAATCCAATGCCTTCCGAAGGACGGGCTGCGCAAGCTGGGGTTGGAGGACTCACTACCCCACACACTCCTGGAGGCCCCGGGGCTGAGTTCAAGGGCGCCGTTTAGCTTCAACATTTGAGGTGCAGTATTGTAATGGGCGCGCTCAAGCAATCCGGCAGGCCCTTTTTAGTGACTTCCTGGTACAAGGAATGCTCCCCATGTTTGAGGTATACTTTGTGCACCTTTGGTGGTTGGTGGTTGCACATTTTCACCTGGGGCATTTGTTGAGATGGCATGATATGTTCTTTAAGTCTGGTCGCTGTCGGTTGTGTTCAATGTGACGGGGCTCCATGTACTGGGCTATATCAGGATACGTGTTGGCAACCGGCAATTGCAAACACCCGCCTGCGTCAGATGTGGCGTTCAAGCAGGTTTAAGCATTTGGGGTGTAGCAATACATGTCATTTGATTTGCAGCCTAAACCCGAAACATTAAACCCTCAGCCCTCAATCCT